CCCCCCCCCATTTTATGGCGGGGGCATAACAAAGAACAGACAGGTCAGCAAGGGTCTAGCTATGTGTCTGACAATACCCAACCCACCTATGGTATATTTTCTGTAACAGTGATCTTGACCTTAGAAACAATTTAAATCCCCTATTGCAAATCTACATATCACAGTTATCACCATGTTAAATTTTGAAAAGATTGTTCTTTTGGATTCTGAGATAATTTCTGGAAATGGAAGTGCTGACATAAAGATGGATGGACACAGATTACCATCACAGGATATTGCATGGGAAGTATCAGCCAATCATAACTCTACAACCTCATTAAATACGCTCAGAATAAACCAAACATTCAACTCAAATGATTGACTTGGGCAGAAAGTGCACAAAGGTATTTTGATCAAAATCTGATCATTTTGTCAAAAGGTATCGCACGAAGAGCAATATACCGATCAGAATGCAGTAGCCTCATTTATTAGGTGTAGAATATGCCCAACATCAAACCTAAGCAAAGGCTCTGTTAAGTAGTATACCAGGCAAATGTCATACCTTCGTAAGATATTGCACACAAAGGAATCAGTCTATTAAATGTGTAATACAAATACAGTAAGGAGTTAGGTGCACCTATCCAGACAAAAAATATCATCTTCACGATAAATATCCTAGATTACAGTGATCACATGAAGCACTACTATGCATGGTGGACTTACCTCCTTAAAGAAGGCAGTGGTAAAATTGCCTCCTTCAATAGCCATATCCCCTAACATGCGTTTCTGATTGGCTTTCTTCAGTATGTTTTCTTCTACGGTCTTTTTACTAATCAGTCTGCAAACAGAAGAAATAAGACAGGGTTTACTAGAGCCGAAACGAATACCAGATTTTGGTGTTTGAATATTTGTTTGTTGTATTTAAATATTCGAGTGAAAGGTTCGACAAACTTAAAACTGGATAATTTACATACGCTAGTTGAGCAGTGTATTATGACCTTTATACATTTAGAAATGTCTGTGGTGTGACGTTTAATTCCTAAACATTCTTAGATCTTGTATCAAACGAAAAATAATTGGTCCCTTATTTGGAGTATGACCATAGTCGTTTAATAAAACAGGAAGACGCACGTCTACCTGCTTGTTTTGTCATCATGTCAAAATTGTTCCTACAAATATTTAACATCATATTTTGTGTATTTCCATACAATATAAGAGCACAGGATGAATTATTTATATGAGCCAGCACTTTAAGATGATGATAAATTGACATCACTTTTCCAGATTTAGAAGGGTCTTTCATTTTGGTGATTAATATACACTTAAACATAGCATTGCAAGGATGCACGTCCTACGGAGACGATAAATCACATAAAATTTTACTAGATTTACAAAGTTAGTATGTTAATTTTGTATTTTGCATGTATCTATTTTAAATGACCAACAATCTATTTGATGGATATTTTAACGGAAGCTGCATTTGAATGAAAGCAGTTAAGTTTGGATACATTTATCAAACTTTCATGTTTTGTTTGACGCTGATAGTTATAGCTATGCTGGATATTGTGCCTTGTGCATACAAGAACCACCAGAGCTTCAGTTCTGACTTTTAAATTTAAATTAACTTGATCCCATATCCAACTGGTACATCTGGATTTATTTATTATCAATGACGCAAGTACCTTTGTATTGTACCAAATACTCAAAAACTATTTCTCGTATCGAAATATTCAGGAGTTTGATATTTATTCGTTTCATCTCTAGTGTTTACAAACTATTCAGTCACCAGATTGTCCTCCTAGAAATGACTTTACAGGAGGAATTGAAGGCCCTTTTCAAGCGACACCATCTCTAAGTAACTAAGGATATACAATCCACTTATATGCTGGAAAGGTTCTCTCCCTTTAACTAATCTACATTCGAGTCCTGGGTCCTGTATCCATAGAATTTTGATTTGACCCAAAGAATTCCTGAAAATACAGAAATTGAACATGGTGGGACCCCATATCATTTAACCATACAGTGGAAAAAGACCCATACAAACTAATAGTAGAAAGATCACCGTTTGGGTGTGTAATTTGAGGCAAGAAATCAGTAGCTACAACATAGATGAAGCAGAATCTGTGTAACCGGCATACCGAGACCATACAGACACAAGGATGCTGTATAGTTATAATATACTGGTGTTCATTTATGGCTGTTTGTAAAACTGCACTACAAACAGTGGTACAGTGGATCTACAGCCAATCAGATGTCAGAGCAAGACATGTCTCTGGTAGTTTACAATACATGTACATTTAAATCTATTTTAATTGAATGCCACTGGGATACAGCCATTTGGAACAGACATGTTTCTGGATTTTTACATAGAAATATTTCAAGTAGTAACTTACTGCAACGACAGAAATGTCATTTATACTGGCTTACATTTATTCAGATAACATGAATGTCTTTCTACTCGAAAATTCACCAACTCAACGTTTTGAAACACGAGATATCTGCTGCCATTATTTTGGAGATATCAAGGATTTGACAAAGAATATATCCGTGAATATTTCCCCCCATTCCAGAAAATAATGAACATTTCTTTTGTAGTATTTGTATCCAAAATTTTGGGGCCATACAATTATTAAAACAATTGCATGGTTCGTACATTGGCATTGATCTAGGCTGATTTTTAAGTCCAAACTACACATAGCAGTATGGGCGATATCTCTCAGCCAGGCTGAAATGCACCATTTCTTTTCTATATCAAACGATTTTCTTTTCAACCACAATTGAGACATAATTTTCTTTACTATTATAGTGTTGTACCCAGTGTTTGCACATTCCACAAATAAATCAACAAGAGTACTGCGGGGCGGAACAATATATGCCAGTAGAATGCCAGATAGTGTTATATACTTTCTTGCATTGAAATAAGATCTGCATCATTTTAAGAGTGGTTAGCCGACATACTATAAACCCACTATTTATAGAAAATTAAGTTCCCTTGGCCCAAGGATGCTCCACACTAAATAAGGATAAAATCCCTTAATCCCTATGGTAGAAGAAGGATTTTAAAGGTTTTACCTCCATTTCTCCTAGTGGGCCCCGCCCTTCTGCCCCATGGGAGACCACACCCACTGTTTATATGAAAAATTGGTTCCCCTTCACCCAAGGATACTCCACAAAAAATATGGACCAAATCCTTTCATTCCGACAGAATAATTTGCTATGTTTCCCCTATTGGGCCCACCCCTAAGGCCCCTGGGGGGCCAGACCCACAGTTTATACATAATTGGTTTCTCTTCATCCAAGGATGCTTCAGACCAAATATATTCCTACAGAATGAGAAGGATTTTAAAGAATTATCTATGTTTCTCCTATTGGGCCCCGCCCCTCAGCCCCCAGGGGGGGCCACACCAACCATTTATACAAAGTTGGTCCCCCTTCACCCAAGAATGCTTCAGACCAAATATGGATTAAATCCTTTCATTCCTACAGAATGAGAAGGACTTTAATTAAAGGATTTGCTATGTTTCTTTGGGCGCAGCCCCTCAGGCCCCTGGGGGGCCAGACCCATGGTTTATACAAAATTGGTTCCCCTTCCCCCAAGGATGCTTCTGACCAAATATAGAACAAATCCTTTCATTCCTACAGAAAAAGGATTTTAAAGAATTTGCTATATTTCCCCTATTGGGGCCCACCCCTCAGCCCCCAGGGGGGCCACATCCACCATTTATACAAAATTTGTTCCTCTTCCCCAAACGATGCTTCTGACCAAATTTGGTCAAAATCTAGTCGGCCGCTCAGGACAAGTAGCATTTTAACCCTTAGGCTGCTACATTGATTTCTATGTAAAGGGACACCACTGCTGAATTAATTATTGAAATATAAATTAATTTACTTGATTTTTTAAATGCGCATAACTTGGAAAATGTTTGTTATATGTGAATAAAATAGGAAAATTGTTCGTTATTGTCTCTAGTTTATATTAACGTTTTCGATTCTAAAGTTGCTTCAGTATTTACCTGTACAGGTGGTAAGAAAGGTAAGAAAAGGTGAAACTTTTAATTAATCGGATTTAAGCACCAGAAAGATCATTTTAAAATTGTTTTTGTCAGCAACACAGATTGGAAAATGATTCCAGAGATTATAAACTTCATTTATGACATAAGATGCTGTACATTTACACAGAGATTCTCAGGTAAAAAGGTCAAGATATTTCATCAAGAATTGCATGCGATTTGCTACAGGTTTCAGGTCGTCATTCAATATATTTATTGTCACAGTCGGCATATAGATATATCTTAGCTACGGTCTAGTTTATGATTAAATCATCGATAAATAGTTTGAAGAAATCAATCGGCTCAAAACGTATCAATGTCAATGTTCAATTCGGCCTCACCTGTAGACAACATGTGCGCCTTGGTTCGCCGATATTTTCATGTTTGCGTAGAGCACAAAGCCGTTCATTGGAAAGTTACATATTAAAAGTTATTTTGCCCTTTGTTCATTCATTTCAATATTTGATTTTTTTGTCCGGCTATCTCCTCCTACAATTTTTTGACGGATTTCTTTGAAATTAAGTAGGCTTAATAATCATGATATGTTGTTGTGTTTCCTTGAAAAGAATTTTGTGAGAATGTTTTGTCCGGAGATTTTCCAAACCAAACCCGAAAGCGTATAGTAGAAGGCTTCTGATTGGTTGTTTTGTCATTACTTTCGATATGCACGGCAGTGTACCCTAGTGATAACCAAAGGTGTGCGAGAGAATTTCAAATCGAAAAAAAAATCATAAAAATGGCGGACGTGTAGATTGAAGCGATGAATATGATGGTGAACATTTATCCTCCATCGTCACCTACGATGATAATAAAGGTTTTAAAGAGTTTGGCATGGTTGATGTGGAAATACTTCGGTGTTACATAATATGTAACGTTCCAGTAAACGACTTTGTGCTCTACGCAAACAGGAAAATATCGGCGGACCGAGGCGCACATGTCGTCTGCAGGTGAGGCCGAATTGACGTTGACATTGATACGTTTTAAGCCGATTTATTTCTTCAAACTTTTTATCGGTGATTTAATCATAAACTAGACCGTAGCTAAGATATATCTATATGCCGACTGTGACAGTAAATTTACTGAATGGCGACCTGAAACCTGTAGCAAATCACATGCAATTCTTGATGAAATACCTGACCTTTTTACCTGAGAATCTCCGTGTAAATATACAGCGTCTTATGTCAAAAATGAAGTTTATAATCTCTGTTATCATTTGCCAATCACATTTGCGGACGAAAATAATTTTAAAATGATCTTCCTCTTGCTTAAATCCGATTAATTAAAAGTTTCACATTTCTTTACCTTTATTACCACCTGTACAGGTAAATACTGAAGCAACTTTAGAATTGAAAACGTTAATATAAACTAAAGACAACAACGAACAATTTTCATATAACTTTTTTTCACATATAACAAATATTTTCCAAGTTATGCACATTTGAAAAATCAAGTAAATTAATTTAAATTTCAATAATTAATTCAGCAGTGGTGTCCGTTTACATAGAAATCAATATAGCAGCCTAAGGGTTAAGGATTTGACAAAGAATATATCCGTGAATATTTCCCCCCATTCCAGAAAATAATGAACATTTCTTTTGTAGTATTTGTATCCAAAATTTTGGGGCCATACAATTATTAAAACAATTGCATGGTTCGTACATTGGCATTGATCTAGGCTGATTTTTAAGTCCAAACTACACATAGCAGTATGGGCGATATCTCTCAGCCAGGCTGAAATGCACCATTTCTTTTCTATATCAAACGATTTTCTTTTCAACAACAATTGAGACATAATTTTCTTTACTATTATTAGTGTTGTACCCAGTGTTTGCACATCCCACAAATAAATAAATCTCAAAATTGTTTTAAAAAAAAAATTAATAAAAAGATCACTTTTCTTCCACAACACTTTTCTTTCACAACCAAGAAATTTTCTGTGTAGCGAAACTACAATTCTCCTTATTACAACAGCTGAAATTAGCAATTTTTGAAAGATGTACAAATTACTAGCCCAACACCTGATGTCAAAAAGTGAGTCAAGTTACGGGTGCAGTAGGCAAGCGAGTCCAGTGTAATCAACAGAGCTAAAACCTGTAACAAATTTCATATCCAAGACCACACTTAATCATATATGTGCAGGCAAGAAACAGAAAGCAAAAAGGCATGTTTTCACTCCTAATTTTTTTCCTAAAGGATAGTACAAACTACTAAGAATAAGAAACAAAAGTATTCCACTTTTTTTTTGCTGCACTGAATCAGTCGATGCAAATTTGGAATCACCAATCTCACAAGACCAGCGGCCAGTTTTGAAAAAAGATACTAAAAGTCACAAAATCATCGTTTGAATTCTAAGTGGCAAGAGCTTACCATTTCTAAATTTATAAAATACTTTAAAACACCTTAGCCTGCATTCTTGAAATTTTTAACACTGACCTATAGATGTGGACATCGCGAGTTTGTCCAATGCGGTGACATCGGTCCTGAGCCTGGGCATCCATGGTTGGATTCCAGTCGCTGTCATAAAATATCACAGTGTCAGCGCCTGTCAGATTCACTCCAATTCCACCTGAACGTGTAGACAAGATGAAACAGAAAATACGTTTGTCAGCATTGAATCGGTCCATGAGGAATTGTCGCTGCTCGACACGTGTTGTTCCATCTAGCCTGAGGTAGCGGTGACCATGGTAACTAAGGAACGACTCTAGAATGTTCAGCATCTTTGTCATCTGTGTAAAGATTAGGATACGATGATCCCCAGACTTCAACCGCCGCAATAAAAGATCCAGAGTTTGAAGTTTACCTACAACAAGAAATTAACCAGTTATATTCTGACATCACATCTTGCATTAAATTTTCAGAGTAACTTTATAGGCGATTAACGAAAGAGCAGATGCTCAACTCCAGAGAATAGATTATGATTTATGTCCTACTTAGCCAGTTTATCTTTAAGTTCAATCTATATCAATTATATCTCCAAAACTTGCAGATGCTCGTAATACATCTACCGTTATTCATTGTGTATCGTCTTGCTGACTGCACAGAATTAGCCTTGTAGGCTCTAACATGTTTTATTTAATGTTGAAAGTGCATTTTCTATACTAACCGGACAACATCAATATAACCACTTACCACAGTCATACTGTATAAGTCGAAGCTCAGGAAACTGCACCATCCTGTTGCTAGAAATTTTGTGTAGACAGCTCGCCTTTGGCGACACGTCTTTATGGAGGAAAAAGTCCCGCCATCGCTCTTTCATTGCGCTAGAGGGAGGAGGGTGAGACACATGCATTTTGATGCACGGTGATACAACAGGTGGAGTAACAAACACATATCTGTAATAGAAGCATTGGGAGTCATATAGTAATGCAAAGCTTACAAAATGGACAGATTGCTTGATGACATTGGTCAAATTTTAATGCCATTTGCATTTTAGATACTGTGTTGAATTAAGATTGCACTAAATGGAGTTTCTGTTTAGTTTTCTATTGGATATCTTGTGACCATGCCAAATCAGCAAACCCCTCCCCCTATCCAAAACATTTGCCTAACTGTAGGCCCCCTTCCCCCTGGTCTATTTTTAGAAAGTAACCTTGACCTTAGATTATTTTTTAAACCCCTACAGCATATCTATATATCAAATATCAACAAGATTAGTCATCTGAGGTAAGGAAGGTACCCCTCACCATTGACTTATGAAATCCTAATTGAACATCTACATTTCACGGTGCATCACCATGTGAAATTTCAACAAGGTTACCGCGAGCGGTATATAATACGCCCGTCACACATTGAATGAGCAGTTGTTTGTATGATTGAAATATATGAAGTATTTGTGAGTAATTGATATTAAAAGAGAAATCATTCAACATAACTGGTAGATCAATGAGTGCAATACAACATCATGGAACTCATGCATCGCATTAATGAAACCAAGGGTAATAACTCCAGTAATTACGGTCGGATAATGGCGGTTATCAAACTTGTCCGTGGTTTCATGGTAATTAACCTTGTTGTGAAGTTTGAAGTTAATCCGTTAATAATTACTCGAGATATCGAGCGGACATCGTTTGCCCGCCCGCCCACGTGATAACATAATACGTCCCCGTCTTCGACGGGCGTATAAAAAGATCATCAGTGTTTCGATATCTTTTGTGCATTATTATTATCATTAAATGCTCAACGGCCCATCAACACAGGAAAGTTCTTTAAGAGTGCAAAATAACTTGTACATATATCACTAAAATAATGAATGTCTTCACAGGTAAAGCTCTTGATGCATGAAGCAATGATCACCCAGATAGACTTGTGTTGGTACCAAAATAAGGCAACTTTTCAGAGACTATGATCTCTCGAATCACAAAACACAATCATTGCTAGAGATGTGTATTAGCACCAGAATAATGAAGCTTTTCAGAGAATCCATATCTTGCCTCTTGACACACTAATTGGCATTTTGTTTTAGTAAGTGTTCTCATTAAAAGCTGGTTGTCGATGAAAGTAGAATGCTGTTCATCAACTATGAACAGGCTATTTCAGAACTTAGTGAGAACACTGGATTTTAGAGATGAGCTCTATATGCAAAATTCACTATTTGCCAGAAACACAACTTTTAAGGCATACCTAGATAAAATGTCTTCTAGTTCATGTAGGTATTGTAAGGGAGTATGGACCAGATTTGAAAGCACTTTGGTTTGTTTCCAGAAGACCTCTGGGCGGTAAGGATTGCTCCAAGAGTGAATGTTTGTACAATGCACATGCCCGAGGGCGGCCCACGTGTTATCACACACGCATGTTTTGTCCGTGTCACTCATCACATTCACAGTACAGCGCAGGTCCTGTCCATACACAGGCTTGCGTTCACAATGTAGCTTGTTTATATGAGCAATATACTCCAGCTTTTCCCGTCGTCGATGCTCTCTCTTGTCACACACAGAGTCCTGAAAAATAAAAAAAATTGTTGAAGAATTGCCTGATTAACATACATGTAAACTACGATTTGCCTGATTAACATACATGTAAACTACGATTATCGATAGGGCTTTAGAATGACTTGTTCTACTTTACAATATAAAGTGATGTGTTGGGGTAAATACTTTCATATTTATACAATGGCACAGTATGTACATTTACTATATCGACTGTTAAATGTTGTGCCGTCATTAAACTCCAGGAAAAATTCTGACATTTGCACAGCTCATAATTCTCATTAATGCAAGTAAACACAATCTGGACTTACAAGCATGAGCTCTGTTTTGATACGTCGTTTGGATTTCTGGCTAGCCAATCGGGTGGACGGTCCCGTTGTGGGTTTAACCTCAGCACTGGATATGGTGGTTGATACACTAGCCTTTACCACTACAAACACAACACAGGCCTGTCAACATCCAAGGATATCAACACAAACAGGGCGGAAAATATATACCCGTCCTCTGGGATCCGACATACTGAAAATCCTCCTGATGCATTATTGTATCAAATGTAAGCAAATACAGTAAAGGAATGGAGAAGCATACTGAACTTGACCTACTTAAACTGAAGGAAGATATATATTTCATATGTGTTATGACCTTTAAAGAAAGTGATATGCAAAAGCCTCCCTTTCTGCATATTTCAAACCATGAAAATAGAAATAAAAAATGCCCTTTTTTCTTATAATTGCTTCATCTTACACCATTTAAACTGAATATATTTCTATTGTTTATCAATTACTGGCAGATTTCGCTAAGTGTTAACCCTTAGGCTGCTACATTGATTTCTATGTAAAGGGACGCCACTGCTGAATTAATTATTGAAATATAAATTAATTTACTTGATTTTTCAAATGTGCATAACTTGAAAAATATTTGTTATATATGAAAACAAGAGGCCCATGGGCCTTAACGGTCACCTGATATATTTATACAGAGAGTTGATTTTTTTGTTTTTAACATGAACAGAAATATTATTCAAAGTGACAAAAAACAATAAAACCACCTTATTCAATATCTAGCATGCAGATTTAAGACTGAAAAGTATTTGAAACTAGCACCTCTGATTCTAAACAAGGGCCCCACCCTACAGCCCTTGGGGGGGGTAGGGATGGCTCAAAATTTACAAAGTATCAAACTGTCAACTTAGGGTTATAATTCCAATCAAGTTATCAACATGTAATATTCAAAGTATCATTTGCCATTATAAACCATAACAAATGGAAATTAAACAAATGTTGGTCCAAAATGTGAAGTCCCTATATAAACTATAGTAAAGTTTACCCCCTCCCCAGGGGGAAACGCGAGACCCCAGGGTCAAGAAATTCATAATTTTGGTAAAGCACCTTAAGACCCTTATATGAAGAGTATTTGATTCTACCATATCTGGGTCTTGAGAAGAAGATTTTTGAAATTTCAGTCAATTCAACCCTTTTTGGCCCCACCCATCAGCCCCTGGGGGTCAGTCAGGGCTCATANTTTTTGTTGACCTTTGTCCATGGAAGGTCCCTGTAAAAGTTCATTGAAATTGGTTCAGCGGTTTTGGAGGAGAAGATTTTTGAAATTTTAGTCAATTTGACCCTTTTTGGACCCCGCCCCTCAGGCCCCTGGGGGCTTGGGACTAAACCGGCCACTATTTTTGTTGACCTTTGTCCATGGAAGGTCCCTGTAAAAGTTCATTGAAATTGGTTCTGGGGTTTTGGAGAAGGAGTCGAAAATGTAAATTGTTTACGGACGCACGACGGACAAAAGGCGATCGCAATAGGTCACTTGAGACTTTGTCTCAGGTGACCTGACTTTGTCTCAGGTGACCTAAAAACTTTTAATTTAATCGGAATTAAGCAAGAGAAAGATCATTTAAAATTATTTTTGTCAGCAAATGTGATTGGCAAATGATAGCAGAGTTTATAAACTTCATTTTTGACATAAGACGCTGAACATTTACAGAGATTCTCAGGTAAAAAGGTCAGGTATTTCGTCAAGAATTGCATGCGATTTGCTACAGGTTTCAGGTCGTCATTCAATATATTTACTGTCACAGTCGGCAAAGAGATATATATCTTAGCTACAGTCTAGTTTATGATTAAATCATCGATAAATTTTTTTGAAGAAAACGTATCAATGTCAATGTTCAATTCGGCCTCACCTGCAGACGACATGTGCGCCTCGGTCCGCCGATATTTTCCTGTTTGCGTAGGGCACAAAGCCTTTCATTGGAAAATTACATTTTATGTTACACCGAAGTATTTCCACATCAATGATTTAATCATAAACTAGATCGTACCCAAGATATATCTATATGCCTAGACCGTACCTAAAATATATCTATACGCCGACTGTGACAGTAAATATATTGAATGACGATATGAAATCTGTAGCAAATCACATGCAATTCTTGATGAAATACCTGACCTTTTTACCTGAGAATCTCCGTGTAAATGTACAGCGTCTTACGTCAACAAGAATTCCACGGAAGTGGATGTGTCGCCTGCGCAGGAAGCTGGGAGATTAAGAAGAAATAGATACACTTTTCATTTCAAGAAATAATGTTAAAAGTAAGCAATAATCAAAGATGATGTTTTTGGATGGCATCATTTTGTTATATAATCTGTTATTCTGGGAAGAATACTCGAGTTTTAAGGAACTTGCTATGGATACTCCCAATTCCACTCCAATATGGTGTCCACAAGCAAGACCAGCATCGCCTCATTGGTATCCATAATTTTTTTCTTGAAAATGCAAGTATGCTTAGCCTTGCATGAAGTTTGAGCTTGATCGGCCCAAGCAAGTTATCGCACGAAACCTCTGTGCGGACGCCGCCGTCGACATAGCAATACCTATGTGTCACCAGCTTTTCGCAGGCGACACAAAAATGAAGTTTTTAATCTCTGTTATCATTTGCCAATCTCATTTGCCGGAAATAATAATTTTAAAATGACCAAGTAATCAAATATTTTTGGCCTTGCTTAAATCCGATTAATTAAAAGTTTCACATTTTCTTACCTTTATTACCACCTGTACAGGTAAATACTGAAGTAACTTTAAAATTTAAAACGTTCATATAAACTAGAGACAATAACGAACAATTTTCATGCAACTTTTTTCCACATATAACAAATATTTTTCAAGTTATTATGCACATTTGAAAAATCAAGTAAATTAATTTATATTTCAATAATTAATTCAGCAGTGGTGTCCCTTTATATAGAAATCAATGTAGCAGCCTAAGGGTTAACCTAAGGTGAAATGGGAGACTTTGTTAAACACGAAGAATAGGTGAAAAGTGCTGTGGGGGAGGAAGCAGATCCGGTCTGTTCTCTTCTGTATTCTGTACAAGAAATTTGCTGCAAAAAACTTTGAATGAGTTAATGGCAGGTGTTGAAGGAGACCCCAGTTAAACATTCTTACCATTTGTGGTTGAGCCTGTGGCCGTTACCATGGGGGAGACTTTCATGACAGGTTTGAGTGTGGTCGTAGTGGTAGCCAGCGGGAGCTGAATGGACATGGCCGGTTTCACCTGGGAAGTCACAGTGGTTAGAATGGTGCTGGCCGAGGATGCTGCTACGGTGGTGATAGCAGGCAGACCATTAACTATCAAAAGCAGAGAATAAATACACATGAGGCAGCTTCCATGTTCAATAGTGTGATCTTACTCCAGCTATCTGAATTGAAGTCAAATTTCAAATACCAACACCCATACAGGATAAACTTTACATTGATTCATGAGATGTCAATTGTGAATTATTTTATATCCTGAACATTTTCATAAATTTCACAATATTTTGGAAATTCCAATTGAAACCTGGATTAGCCATTATTAATAGTAGTTATTCCATAAACTTAATATTGGTGTCATTCAGAGTTTTTTGTCACCAAAGAATTGAGTTTAACAGACCCACAAGAATGGCCTGCAAAATTAACTCATTGTTTGGTGGTAATCTAGGCGAGTTGCAAAGACCAAACAGCACAAATCAGCAGAATGGTTGATTTCCTAGCCCACATTTTTCTAGCTTGTCCATTTGATTTATTTTCTCCATTAATATCGCTATATTTAACAGATTAGTCTTTTGTCACCGCCACACTTTCTTGTTTGCATTACATCCTGATTAACGAGCGATTTAAAACTGCTGCCTACTAACCTATTGTACTACTGGTCGTGATTGCACGGCTGGCACTGCTTGCTGCAGTTATTGACGGTGAAGAAACGTGCTGCTGAGCTGTGGTTGCCACTGACGATGCAATGATTTGTTGACCCATGGATGTCTGGACAATCTGGATGAAACCTGCTGTAAACAGAATAACAAATATGTCTTACTCTGTAATCAATATTCTAACAAGGCAAATCTATACTTAATATTCCAAGCATCACTGCTAACACTTATTGTATACAGCTTTTACGCTGGTCATGGTTACTCTCAAGCGTTTAGGTAGGAAAAAGCCAAAAAGGTCCCTGTTAAATTAAAATTTACAAATTCCCCTCAAAGCCACAGGCATGTCATACTAATGCAATAATAAATAGCCCTGTACACAGTACCTCCATCAAACCTAGTACCTCATTCTAGTGCATCATATGTTGCATGCAAATTAATGTTTTGTCAGAAACTTTCAGTAACAGATATATCTGTTGCCAGCAATTTTTGTGACCAACTACACTACAAAAGAGTGTTGGCGCATAGGGCTGCAGTTAATATCCGAGTTACATTAGCACCACAGACACTACAGACAAGCGACTTGGTGACTCTATGTCTCAGCTTCATTTCTTGCTAGTTAAGTTGTAACATGTGACTCGAGCAAAAAGTTTTTTCCCTGCATGTAGGAAGTTTTGGTCAATCTCTTTACTTTTGGGAGATAAATATTTTTGCTTTCATCCTTCGTATTTGCACTATTTGATAATTAGACGATGATATTGCTTTGCCTGAGCACTAATGTCTCCTTGCTATGTCACGGCAGAACTCACCAGGCAATTGCGAGAGCTGGCCAGCTGGTATCATAAGCCGAGCCCCCTGATCTGTCTGCTGTATCTGCACTGTGATTGGTTGAGATGTCGCCACCTGACTTGAGGAGGATGGGAGGCTGACTGTTGCTGTGGTAATGGGTCCAACCTTGGCCTGTGGGGTGGCCACACCACTGCTAGTGAGGACAGCAGACAGTGTGCTGGTCACACTGGCACTACATCCAGCTACAGAGGTGGCCACTGCTGAGAGAGGCTGTGTTACGCTGCTAGTTGTCATGGTCACTGAAGTCTGTGTCCTTGGTGTAACTGGCAGTATCAGAACAATCCATTAACAACACAGAAACTACCATTGATATTATATGAAATGATCAATACCCAACAGTGTGTTCAAAATCTTTCCTCTAAGAATAGGGGGTTGGGAGCTTACACTTTGCGGAGGTTTCTATTTTTACTATATTCATGAATACGCACAAAAAAAAGTTATCCCTTCAGATACATCGACCTTCTGAAAGGACTATTGATTTTTTTTTTGTGGTGAATGGAATAAACCCTGCAAATTCATTCCAAGAAGAAACCAGCTAAACTTTGACCCAGCAAATAGAAATTCATTTTTGACTCATTTGCCTTGATCTGAAACTATATTGAATGTGTTTGGTTTGTGTTTAACCTCCTATTAACAGCTATGGTCATTTAAGGACTTGACAGGTTTTGGTGGTGAAGGAAAGTCAGTTTCCCCGAGAAAAACTGACCCAAGGCCGGTACCTGGTGACTGACCCACGTAGGTCTCGAACCCGCGACCCATCCCTGGAGGTCTAGTGGTAGTAGAATGTCAGACTACTTAACCACTTGGCCACCGCAGCACCGAATGTGTCTCCATCAATTATTATAAAACATAAAGAAAGTCTAGGCTATATAATGCTCTTATTCTGCATCTCGAACTCCATACATTTGAGGCTTAGAGAACACTATAGAAAGACAGCTGATATAGAGTAATGCCTAAGCTATGGGTATTGCGAGTGCAAATTGAGACACAACGGACCTACACATAGCAACTGTTTCAACTACTTGGTTAATCAATTCTAACAAAACTTGTAGTTCTGTCACTGAGGTTCACGTGTAGATACAGACTACTGCATCCTATAATGAAGTCAGATTTTACTGTACGAGACTTACTCAATCCACAGTGTCACAAGAGACAAGTAGGCTATCATTTGTCTCATTAAATACATCAATGGTTACCCCTTGAAAATAATAAGAAATTACGATCTTAAAGTTTGACCTCATTTTAACCCTTAGGCTGCTACGCGCCACAATAGTGGTTTCGAAAAGTCGGGCCGTCAGTGCTACGCACGACAATAGTGGCGTGCGGTCTGTAGGTTTTTGATCAGTAAACAGGAAGTGTGAAAGCGGACTGTTGCTATACCAAACCCGAAAGCGTATAGTAGAAGGCTTCTGATTGGTTGTTTTGTCATTACTTTCGATATTCCCGGCAATGTACCCTAGTAATAATCAAAGTGTGCGAGAGAATTTCAAATTGTAAAAAACGTCATAAAAATGGCGGACGTGAAGATTAAAGTGATGAATATGATGGTAAACATTTATTCTCCAGCGTCACCTATGATGATAATAAAGGTTTTAAAGGGTTTGACATGGTTGATGTGGAAATACTTCGGTGTAACATAACATGTAACTTTCCAATGGACGACTTTGTGGCCTACGCAAACATGAAAATATCGGCGGACTGAGGCGCACGTGTCGTCTGCAGGTGAGGCCGAATTGAACATCGACACGTTTTGAGCCGATTGATTTCTTCAAACTATTCATCGATGATTTAATCATAAACTAGACCGTAGCTAAGATATATCTATATGCCGACTGTGACAATAAATATATTGAATGACGACCTGAACCCTGTAGCAAATCGCATGCAATTCTTTATGAAATATCTGACCTTTTTTACCTGAGAATCTCCGTGTAAATGTACAGCGTCTTATGTCATAAATGAAGTTTATAATCTCTGTTATCATTTTCCAATCACATTTGCTGACCAAAACATTTTTTAAATGATCTTTCTGGTGCTTAAATCCGATTAATTAAAAGTTTCACATTTTCTTACCTTTATTACCACCTGTACAGGTAAATACTGAAGCAACTTTAGAATCGAAAACATGAATATAAACTAGAGACAATAACGAACAATTTTCCTATAACTTTTCTTCACATATAACAAACATTTTTCAAGTTATGCGCATTTGAAAAATCAAGTAAATTAATTTAAATTTCAATAATTAATTCAGCAGTGGTGTCCGTTTACATAGAAATCAATGTAGCAGCCTAAGGGTTAACAATATCTACCATAACAAGTACTAATTGTAATGGGGGACCATTACAGATGTCCCCCAAACTTTCCCCATAGTCGCAAAGATGCATCAGAAAAGGATCGCATTGCCATAGTACACCTACAATGTACATATGAAATTGAGCAAATTTCTTAATTGCAACCGATCAGAAGCCTTCGTGTGGTTGCTATGGTAACGAAATGTATGCAGTTTTATTCGCAGTCCCCTAATACCCTTATATACCAATTTTCATCAAAATCGAACAATATCTGAATTTCCACCAATCAGAAGCCTTCGTGTGGTTGCTATGGCAACGAAACCTATGCGGTTGAATTTGAACCCCCAGATACCAATTTTCATCAAAATCGAATATCTAAATTTCAACCAATCAGAAGTGTCCGTGTGGTTGCTATGGCAGCGAAACCTATGCAGTTGAATTCGCAGTCCCCTAATATCCCTATATACTAATTTTCATCAAAATTGAACAAAGTTTGAAGAAAATTGGTTAACATTTGTTGTAGTTATTGCACAGAAACAAAACCCAGCAGATAATTACATTTTTCATTATTCAAGGGGCCATAAATCCGCCAAATGGGATCCGCTGAAAGTGGTTATCGAACTTGGCCAAGCTCTTAAGGCATTTAACCCTGTGACCAAGTTTGAAGAAAATCAGTTAACATTTGTTGTAGTTATTGCACGGAAATGAAGCTCGGCAGACAGACAGACCGATCGACCCAAATGAATATCCCTCTTTCAGTGAAAGCGGGAGATAAAAATCAGTTCAGTTAGACATGAATGGGGTTAGATAACAAGAGGCCGAAGGGCCTTAGCGGTCACCAGAGTTATATCATAGGTACTGGTAGCTTTATTTTATTTTTAGATGTGATGTGGAAATCAGCATGTAAACTAAGTGAAATACAATACTTGTCATGTCATCAAAGGATAAGAATTTGAAAATATTGGTAAATGTTCACTTTGGGGCCCCGCCCTAGCCCCTGGGGATGGGGCAGGAATCCTAATTTTACAAAGTAAAACTCTCATTTACCCAAGATGATTCTGACTAAGTTTGAGCAATTTTCTGCTGAAAATGGATAAAATATATACCGAAAAGTGTTATTTCCCTATATAAACTATATNAAACCATCTACCTCCAAGGATAATTCTCACCAAGTAAAAATAATTTCCTACAGAAAGTTGTCAAAATATACCCAAAAGTGTTATTTCCCTATATAAACTATAGTAAACTTTACCCCCTCCCCAAGGGAGAACGGATAGCTCGGGGGTCCTGAAATTTACAATTCAAGTAAAGCCCCTGATGATCTTTCTTTTCATGCAAAGAAAATGAGTGTAGTACCTCTGAGTCTGGAGAAGAAGATTTTTGAAATATTGGTTAATTTTCCCTTCGGGGCCCCGCCCTGGCCCCAGGGGTTGGGGTAGGAATCCCAATTTTACAATTTTGTAGCCTCATCTACCAAGGATGATTCTGACCAAGTTTGAAAAAAATCCATCCACTGGTTCTTGAGAAGAAGTTGAAAATGTAAAAAGTTTATGCACTAAAAATATCCATTCACTAAAGCGATGCATCTCCATCAATTATCATTAAACATGAAGAAAGTCTAGGCTATATAATGCTCTTATTCTGCATCTCGAACTCCATACATTTAAGGCTTGATGATAAGAACACTATAGAAAGACAGCTGATATAGAGTAATGCCTAAGCTATGGGTATTGCGAGTGCAAATTGAGACACAACGGACCTACACATAGCAACTGTTTCAACTACTTGGTTAATCAATTCTAACAATACTTGTAGTTCTGTCACTGAGGTTCACGTGTAGATACAGACTACTGCATCCTATAATGAAGTCAGGTTTTACTGTACGAGACTTACTCAATCCACAGCGTCACAAGAGACAAGTAGGCTATCATTTGTCTCATCAAATACAGCAATGTTTACCCCTTGAAAATAATAAGAAATTACTATCTTAAAGTTTGACCTCATTTTAACAGTTTTACAACAAGCAAATTCGTGGAATTTATATCCCCCGCTTGCAGGTAGGTTAACATTATTGAGGTTAGGTTTAAACATATGAATATCGTGCTGTAGAGACATAATGTATAGCTTGAAATTTGAAGAAGAAAACAAAAAGCCCTATACCTCATTGATTATCCGTTAATATGCACAAATCACATTGGTTGGCAGATGTGCATAAGGAATTTGGTTGAAACATCTTAACAATATCTACAACAACAAGTACTAATTGTAATGGGCGACGATTACAGATGTCCCCCAAACTTTCCCAATAGTCGCAAAGATGCCTCAGAAAAGGATCGCATTGCCATAGTACACCTACAATGTACATACTAAATTTGAGTGAAATTGAGCAATTTCTGAATTGCAACCAATCAGAAGCCTGCGTGTGGTTGCTATGGTAACGAAATGTATGCAGTTTTATTCGCAGTCCCCTAATATCCTTATATACCAATTTTCAACAAAATCGAATATCTAAATTTCGACCAATCAGAAGCGTCCGTGTGGTTGCTATGGCAACGAAACAAATGCGGTAGAATTTGCAGTCCCCTAATATCCCTATATACTAATTTTCATCAAAATTGAACAAAGTTTGAAGAAAAACGGTTAACATTTGTTGTAGTTATTGCACAGAAACAAAACCCAGCAGATAATTACATTTTTCATTATTCAAGGGGCCGGGCCATAAATCCGCCAAATGGGGTCCGCTTAAAGTGGTTATCTAACTTGGCCAGGCCCTTAAGGCATTTAACCCTGTGACCAAGTTCGAAGAAAATCAGTTAACATTTGTTGTAGTTATTGTACGGAAATGAATTGAGGCAGACAGACAGACCCAAATTAATATCCCCCGTTTCAGTGAAAGCGGGGGATAAAAATCAAGTTCAGTTTGACACGAAAGGGGTTAGAAAAAAACATCCATTCACTAAAGCAATGCATCTCCATCAATTATTATAAAACATGAAGAAAGTTTAGGCTATATAATGAACTTATTCTGCATCTCAAATTCCATACATTTGAGGCTTGATGATAAGAACAATATAGAAAGACAGCTGATATAGAGTAATGCCTAAGCTATGGGTATTGCGAGTGCAAATTGAGACACAACGGACCTACACATAGCAACTGTTTCAACTACTTGGTTAATCAATTCTAACAATACTTGCAGTTCTGTCACTGAGGTTCACGTGTAGATACAGACTACTGCATCCTATAATGAAGTCAGGTTTTACTGTACGAGACTTACTCAATCCACAGCGTCACAAGAGACAAGTAGGCTATCATTTGTCTCATCAAATACAGCAATGCTTACCCCTTGAAAATAATCAGATCTTAAAAGTTTGACCTTTTTCAAAAATCATGTTCAGTTTGACATGAAAGAGGTTAGCAAAAAACATCCATTCACTAAAGCAGGGTCAAAATGATTGCATAACAATTTTACACAATAATTCTCTTAATGGCTACAACACCAACAATCATGTATTTGTAACCCAATCAAAACTTGAGTTGGTGCACCTTATAAAGTGGTTACCTGCTGCAGTGAGTGTGGTCACTGGTGTAGAAGAGATGGTGGTTCCCGCTAGAGCAGTAGAGGTGGCAGTGGTTGTAGTCACAGATGTTACTGCCTTCGTTTTATCTGTACAAGTTGTGGCAGGGGTCTGGTTTGTCAGCGGTGAAACACTCCTCGACTGAAAATAGTATTCCAAAAATACTACACTCCTTCAATTTGCTTCAATTTAAAGCAACATTTATTGTAAAAAATTAATTTGGATAAGGATGTTGATACTATGATAAAACATGTTTTGGTCAATATTTAGACATTTGATGCAAAATTGTTGCCAGCCAATAGAAAAATGATATTACACAAAGTTTATTTTTCAAGTTATTTCAGCACCGGAGTCCAAGCAAGGAAATTGACTAGGAGAATTGGTGAATATGTCACCACAAGCAAGCAGCTTGCTGATTCTGAACATTATTTTTGACCCAACCAATTAAGTTGTTGAACATAAAAGGCTCTGTGACGTTTGATTTCATGTTTGACAAGCATGTCATTTTCTTATTTACTTAGAATTAATATTATTCCTCAGGAAAACTGAAATTGATGATGCCAGTCAATAGGTAACTTACATCAGCACCTAAGTCACAATATACAAATGACAAAATTATTTGTCTCATCAACAATCCTGAATATGAATAGTTTAATATGGAGAAATTCTATGGTAATGATTGACATTCTTAAAATTCAAATAATTGATAAAGATTATTCATGAACCTTACAGTGAGAGATGACACGGATTCAAAGAAATGCATTTTACTGCAGTGCTTTTTACGTGTTGAAAGTAGGACACCATTAAGATTGAAAACAATTGCTGTGAAAACATGTTGCCAGCATTTTTGGTGACCAACCACTCTATATAAGAGCATTGGCGCATAAGGCTGCAGTTTATGTCCGAGTTACATTAGCACCACAGACACTACAGACAAGTGACTTGGTGACTCTATGTCTCGGCTTCATTCATTATGGACTCTCAGCTTCATTCATTATCAGCCAAAGAATTGTTACTCTGTAAAATATAGCACAGTGAGAGACTAGCAGTCAAAGAATTGTCATTATATATAATCTGTTTCTCTCATTTCCCTGTGTGTAAGATAGAGCTGTCCAGGGTAAGAAAGGGGTGTAGGATGTTTCCATCTTACACCCCATTTCATGTGACGTCACAATGGCGTGATGTCACGAATTTTGAACTCTCTGATGCTGCAATGCGGAAAAGGCGACGTGATGAAATTAAAAACCTTTTACAATATATTTACTGTACACGTTAGAAAGATGCGATTAATTTTCTCGCACAAACTCTTGCCAAAATAGGATATGCTATATCCGGCTGGCTGTTTCGTTTTCGTCTAAAAAGCTCAGGGGGGAAACTTGATATTTTCAAAATGGTGTGTGGCCAGTCCAAACATATTTTCATGGTTTCCAAGCTTATTCTGGTGGTTGGCATGAGAGAAAAATACTCTTTCATGCCCATGGATGTAGGATAGGGAAATTCAACCTTGGGATTTTCAAATTGCAAATTTGAAAATCCTGAGGGTGGAATTTCACTATCCTACAAACACTGAGCATAAAAGAGTTTTATAATCTTATTTCATATTATGGACAGTTTCTAGAAACAAGAGGCCCATGGGCCTTAATGGTCACCCGATATATTTATACAGAGAGTTGATTTTGTTTTTAACATGAACAGAAATATTATTCAAAGTGACAAAAAACAATAAAACCACCTTACTCAATATCTAGCATACAGATTTCAGACTAAAAAGGGTTTGAAACTAGCACCTACAGCCCTTGGGGGTAGGGCTGGCTCAAAATTTTCAAAGTATCAAACTGTCAATTCAAGGTTATAATTCCAATCAAGTTATTAACATGTACTATTCAAAGTATCATTTGTCATTATAAACCATAATAAATTCAACCCTTTTTGGCCCCACCCATCAGCCCCTGGGGGTCAGTCAG